TAAGTGCGTTGAACGCACACCAGTAGACTGCTCGCCAACCATGCAGATGGTCCGGGGTTGGATCCCCAGCCGACGCACTCCTTTACCTAATAAGACTGGTAAAGAAGGAAGGTTGAGCATGAGGCTAGCATCCCCATCCTGTAAAAAGAATAAACACCACTGCTACAGAAACTTCAAGTCTCTAGCTTGAAGTCGAATGTTCCACTGGCAACGTAAAGGAATAAAGAAAATCATATGAAGAAATGTTGTAGTGAAAAATAGAAATCTCATTTCTCAGGAACATATTTCACGTATATGAGACAGAGAGTTTGTGTAAAAAGTAAGAGATTTTACATGCAATCAGTGTAATTATTATCCTCGTTGTGTAGGGCCGTTTGGTTGGTCGTGACCTCAACTTATTTGTGCAAAAGTGACTGTCTTTTCTGACCATAGTTTATATGCTTTTAACGATGAATCAGGCTTCTTTAATTCTGTCCTTATTTATGCTAAATACGTTCGCTGTGCCTTCCTTGATTACACATCTGCATTTGACTCTGCTTCCAGGTCTCTATTGCTAAGAAAGCTTACTGCAACACAGGCTGAGAGCTGGACAAATAAGTGGCTGCATTCCTATTTTTCTGATAGGAAGCAGTACACCGTCTACAATGGAAAGTCATCCACTACTTCACTTACTTTAGCTGGTGTTCCTCAAGGTCCTGTTCTTTCTCCCTTTCTGTTCTCGTTTCTCTTACATGACTTGTCTCATTCTGATGTAGCCACTTTTGTTAAGTATGCCGATCACCTCTCGGTTTCTATGCCTGTCAACTCACAGTCAGATTGTTCCAAATTAAATAACTTTCTGTCGGAAATTAGTCAGTGGTCCTCTTCAAACGGACTTAAGCTTAATCCGTCTAAATGTCAGGTAGTCAATTTCACTTTCAGACGTAAACGTGACCCACAGCAACTAGTTAGCTCACATGGCCCCACTGTCACTGACGGCACAGAAGTTGAAATACATCTAATGTCAAGTACCTTGGGCTGAGTTTTTCCACCGATCTTTCCTGGTCTTCCCACATCTTGCTAGTTACTAGAAAGATGTTTCGCTTAACGTTCCACATTAGGAAATTTAGGCAGTCTGGTATAAAGCAATCTTTACTTTCTCAGTTTGTAAATTCTTGTATTCTTCCCATCCCCCTTTACTGCTCCCCATTAATCTTTCCTGGACTACTTAAGAAAGACTTTGCCTTGCTGAGAAGGGCAGGCACTAAAAGCCGTTAGTAGGGCAAGTGGGACATCGTTAAACCAACTGGTTAACCCTATTGTGGATAGACATGTAATGTCATGTAAGAAACTTGCGAGTACAATATTGTCGGACCCCGAGCATCCTCTCTATACACAGCTGTCTCCTTGCATTTCATCTGGTAGAACTAGAAGCAGCTATAGGATGCTATATGCTAGGACTACCAAATACAAATCTCCACAATACCATATCTGGCACAGCTGTTATGTGATGAGAAATCCGTTAGGTATGACACGGTCAACTTACTTCGGCACTCTAACAAATAGTCCCATTAGTTTTTGTTTTCCTTTCCTCGTTACTACTACACTGTTGTTCTCATTTACTACCACACATCAACTTTATATTTCAAATCCTGTGTTGCATTGTTTGAAATGAAATACTCTACGTTGTTTTTTTTCTTAATTTCTAATATTTATTTATTTTATTTATTTATAACTTATTTATTTTATTTTTATTTATTTATCTTTGATTTTTAAAAATCTTATATAATTTATGAGGTAATTAGATGCAATATACTGTAATGCACGCTGAAAATTCCATACCTGTACCACAAATACTGTTTGGAATAAAGCTATTATTATTATTATTATATTTGTCTAATGAAAGATTTAAAGTTAAATCATATAACTATACACAGATAAGAATGTATATGAACTGGCCATTACTCTGATATAGATTATCTCAAATACGAAATATTTACTCTGTGACAATAATATGAAAACTTCTGCTTATTAAGTGCTAGTGCAAAGCATTGAACAATAGTTTTAAATAACAGAGTCGGTTACATGCCCTTCTATGAGTATCCTTTAGACATTAAAACCCGCCACAGTGTGTAGTGATATCGTGTAGCGTAGACTAGTAACTCGGATTGACATCTACGGGGCATTTCCATTAACACATATTAGTGTAGACAGATACATTGGTCACCTTTGTATCACAAAGGCAATAAATTAAACGTTCACTAAGTCAAGTAGTTTTTTGCCTCTTGTTCTTGAAAACTTTCAATGATATTAAACGTATTTCGTCATAGCAACACGCATAAAGTGATTAGTAAGATGAAATAAAGTATAGAAATAATAGTAAGTCTCTTGTCTTTGAGTGCATTTCCGGCTGTTAAGGAAAAAAATTGAAATTTGAAGTAATAGAGAAGATTTGAAGTGATTAGTCGGTGCATTAGTCTTCATTTATTAAAGCGGTTTGTTGTGAGAAACAGACAAGCTGTAAAAGAATTAGCTTTTATTGGTATATTACGTCATAGAAACAAAAGTTTTATCTATATTTCAGTATTTCGCATTGACGACGGCGGAATTTTCGTCAAAAAAAGAGCCTTATTTATTTTAACTACTAACCGGCATTATGAAATTACACGTCTAGTAAGTTACAAAAGGTAACATACCTTCTCTTGCAGATATGCCATCAATTTGTCATCATGAATAACCACAGGCATCACTTCCAGTATCTTCGTCAACATCAATAGCTTGAATTGGTGAAACAAATTCGTATGTGACGCCTGTACTGACATCGGAAGCCTAACTTCACTCTTATCATCCTCAGACATAATTACCGAAAGATGCAATTTTCTTTTACTGAGAAACGTCTTCAAATAAGCTTGTGCAATAAGCATTGTTGGGAAACAAATTACAAGAAACTTCTTACGACATTATTTAGCTTAATATCTTTTTAACATATACCCTATGCTCACCTCTGAATATACTTATCTTGCATTTCTTTACATGAATTCGCAGTCATATTAAAAGTTCGAATACCCTTAATCGTAAGAGTTTAGCAACAGAAACGGGTGGATCATCTAACCTCTATTTGGACTACTTTTTACCCTAGAAGGGATACAGTACATCGTGGAATAACACGAAGAAGGAAAGAAAATAGGCAACAAAGAGGATAAAATGCCTTCAAAATGTCCATTATTGGTAGTAAGCTGGGATGGTGAAATACTAGGGAGCATGGCACATGTTACACTGGATAGTTGCTTAGATTATTACGGTGACTGTGAATAATTAAGAACTATCTAAGTGCTGCTTATAATCGTGTCTTGATCATATCATCAATCTTAAAACTTCATTTTGTTGAGCGATACCGGTCTGCATCAATTGATATGTATTACATAAGTGTCTGAAAGTATAGAAGGGTTCATGTCGTCTGACCAGACTGCTCTGCTTCAGCGAATATGGTAGAATTATAATTTCTGAAGAGGCAATTATGAAGGTACAGCGCTGTTTCCATTTGCTGCTCTTTTTCCACACTCCAGTCACTCACTTGTTTCCAAGAATTTGTTTTCTGGGGAACATACTTCTCTTTTGGTTTACGAATCAATTTTCGTTCATTTGTATATTCTGAAGAGACATCATTATCAACAGACATAACCAGCTTTCTAAATCGTGATATTTATGCTTCAAGACTTCTGGTATTAATTCACTTAAATGAGTTACCTATTCTACTCCAAAGGTATTGTTTTACACGGTTTCGGTGATGAAAAGTGAATCTCAGGTCTATTAACTAACTGAAAATTATTAAGTATACTAATTTAATGGTGGCTCAAGATGCTTTAGGACGATGTACTCTGACGTGATCATCATACCATTGAAAATAACCAAACTATATTCAATCTGCGGGTAATTCCCATCCATCCTAGGCATATTGGTCGTTTGGCTCTTGTCTGACCTAAAGAGATTCAAGGATACTATCCCACATGTTCGAAGAAAGGTACCTCATAGACACTGACTACTATGTCTTAACAAAATCTTTCCACAAGGTGATCTACAAAGTAAAAACCAATCTGCCAAAGACGATCTGCTTTCGCCTTTTACGTACTAATGAAGCTCTAGTTATTTTTAGATGGAGAAACTGGAGCTGCGCACACAATAGAAATTCCTCCATCAACTTGCATTATCGTGGTAACGACCGTATTATTTTCGACCTAACTGTTCTACTTGTTTTATTTCTCCTACCCTTTCTGAATCATCTATCTCCTCGAACTCCCAGGGAATGTAAAATTTTCCTCGGTTTTTATGTGCACCCGGATTACACCGTACTTGTTGAATTATTTACCTGATGACGCAACTACGTCATCCTTATTCAACTTCTCGTATGTATTGATTACCATTAGTAATTATTCTTACGATGGCTTATCCCCTTTTTACGAGAAACTGTTGTATATAAATGCGACTGTACAGCTGGGAAATGTGAAGTCGCTGTAAAGGGGCTCCTCGCTGACCTAATCATCATAATTTTGTACTCTTTTCAAAGCTTTATTGTTTTTGCTACATGTTTATTAATGGCTGTTTTTAAGAATCACTCTGTAGGTTAGAGAACACTTATGGTATAAAATCTCTCGACTCACAATTTGTCCATCCATCGGTAAGTAATTCGGTACTTTTGTGTCTTTAATTCTATTTCAGTAAACTTAATTCTGAAGAAAAAGATGAATATTCATGACTAAACGCATTCTCCTTTTGGATAGGTGGTCCATTGGTAGAATTCTCACTAACCCAGGCAGAGGTACAGTTTTTAGTCCTGGCTGAAGCCCTCCCGAGAGACCCTTGATTTAGGAGGCCGTTATAAGCCCGAGAAAGACAAGTTTTAGATATCAGGGTAGCTACCCTACCCTATAAAATAAAACGACACCACTACCTAAATTTCGGGATAAAAAGCCTGTAGCTTTATGTTCCGCTTGCATAGGTAAAAGGAATGAAAACAGAAACAATTAGATTCTTTGGAATTATTAATAAAAGAATAAATCAAGAAAAGTTTTAGACGCACATTCATTTGAAAACTTTAATTGCAAAAGAAATCTTTGTACACTTATTGTAGTGTGATTATGATGTTTGAAGAATTACTGGGAACCAGAATTCATAGAGGGAATAATAATGAATCTGTTCGATAATATGACGTTCTGACAAAGAAAGGGAAAGAGAAAAACACAGAAACCAAATCTATTATTATTACTATGCAAAGTATCACAAAGAATAAATTGTAATGAAACTTTTAAAGATATCAGTAAGATTCGTATTAATGTAATATAGTTGAGATGTGATTAATATTACGTAACAAGGAGACGTTTAATTCATACATTATGATTAGATATTACTTGGAGTTGATATTCTGAGCCTTATAAGCGCAAAATGATTGAATACTATATGATGCTTGCTGGTGACTGACTACGGGATGAAGTTGCCTAGGGTTCTAGTAAGAAGCCGTGTCCAGTGACGTCCACCCTGTCAATACCCGCCGATGACATTGGCTACTGGTCGCGTTAAAATCCCGCATTGGTATAAGTTGGAATTGCTCAGCCATTGGATCAGATGCCAGTGATTAAATGGTCTACGAGCTTGCCGTGTAACCAGACGGTCCTGGGTTCAAATCCCAGTGGGTGAGTACTACTGGAGAGTTTCAAACTAGGGTGAAACTGGGTTGACTTGTTTCAGAAGAAACTGTCATTTATGCGGGTGTTTTTAAAGCAATCTGATATCTCTTTTAATTAATAATAATTGCGCAACTGAGAGTTCTGAATAAATTTCTTTCTACCAAATCAAAGGAATTTACTTTTCCTTAGATGCATCAGATTAAAAATCTCACTATTGTGACAAAGTAAGTGAGCATAACTTTTATTGATCAGACTGTGAAGCGTCACTTGTTGTTATACTGAATTCAATAAATTATGAAAATACTGCTCAAAGAATGATAACTCCTAAGAAATATGTAGTTAGGTATTTATATTTCATAAACATTTTCAAACAATTGGGAAAGTCTTGACTAGTAGCGTACAGTAGGTCGAGCGTTAAGACAAACACTCGTCGGTGACAATGGCTAGTGATCACGCTATATCGTGAATTGACAGACGTTAGAATTCATAGACTGGCCATTCGATAGCATCCTTATGTCTTGATGGTCTATGAGCTAGCTCACCTTGTAAGCAGAAGGTCGTGGGTTTGTATCTTGGCGAGTGCGTACTGATGAAGAGCCCCAAACTAGGACGAAACAGCTGTCCAGCACTCCCAAGTATTTTGTTGGTTCTCTGACCGACGTCAGCTTATAATGAAGTACTGTAAACCATTAAATGAATCTTAGAGAAATAGCTCACTGCACGTGTGTTCCAAAGTTCGAAATATGATGAATGTGTTGAAGAAAACCCTTAGATGAATAAAGTAATGTGATATTCCACTTCCAGTTTTCAGTCATCTGAACGTCTCTTTTCCTTGCATTTTCTGCTATTATAAAATAATTTCTCGTAGTTATGTAATCTATTTAACTAGAATACTCCTCCTAGTGTTGAACTTCGTTTCTATCTAGAATTTTGAAAGCTGTCGATTTTTTTCCCTTATTATTAGCCTTATTGTTCCATTAATAGTTCACCTCTAAACACCTAATAATTTAATTTTTTACATCAATCGAGACCTATGTCATATATTATTCCTATTAATGACTCCTTCTCAAAGGGAAAAACATATACTCAAACGTTTTCCTTAATCCATATTTTTCTGAATCATTCAGTTGAAAATAATCTGCAAAACAATCACAAAGAGGTTATATTATCCTGCTAAACTTGTTGTTTCTACTCTCGTCATTACCCATCAAGTCGCTCATTAACAGCTGACATTTATCAATCATGATATGCCTGTTTTCGTTTTACAGACGTATTCTAAATTATATTACCCTAGATCATTCTTGATTTGAATGACGAATCACGTCAAGTAGGTGTATAACTGAAAGGCTAAATCAGCAAATATTTACTAGCTATAGGCACCTGAAGAAGAATACCTGCTGAGTAGTAGGCATTGAATCCAAAATAATCATAGTTTTTCTTTGGGGATAACCTTAAATTTGTGATTAGCGGATTGATTAACACCTTGTAACTTACACAGTTTGAGGTTAAATTTCGCTTTAGTTTCCTTTGGAAACCGAAAATGTTCAGATGTCAATATATGGTCTGTTTGATACTATAAATGATTATTAGTTAGTATGAATATTACATTGATGATTAGATTCCCAAGTATTCAAGTATTGGTTTGTAGGGAGTTGACTGATTGGTTACAGGATTTCATCATGAGCTGACATCAGTTAGAGAACCATTGGAAAACCCGGGAACACTGGGCAGCTGTTTCGTTCTAGTTTGAGATTCTTCGTCAGTATGCACTCACCAAAGTTCGGACCCAGGACCCTCTGGTTACAAGGCAGGCGAGCTCGTAGACCATTGAGCCACTGGGACCTGATCCAATGGCCAGTCCATGAATTCCAACTTCTGCCAATTCACAACATAGCGCAACCCCTAGCCAATGTCTTCGGCGAGTATTTGCCCTCACACCCAACTTGCTGCATCCTACTAGTCACGACTTCCCACTAGAACCCAGATAACTACCTACCTGAATAGGGTAAGTCATCAGTGAGCATCTCATCGAGTATTGGTATGTGGGGAATTGTAGGATTTCGCAATGGTTCTCTAACTAATGTCAGCTCACGATGAAATCCTTTGACCAGCCAGATTCACAAGTAATTACTAGTCTCTTCATGAATAAATATGTAGATAACAATTTATCAGATACACTCAAGCCAGATATATGAATAAGATACGCTTGTAATATCTTAGTAGGATTCAAACCACACTTGTACCATTAATTCTTGGAGAATGTGTACAGTCAATCTCTCAACATTCAGTTTACTTCGGAAGCGGACCTAGATATTGGTTAGCTAATTAAGAGGAAGAAAGACGGCTATTTGAAAACGTCTACATTCGGAGAGAAAACACACTCCAACAAATAATTCGATTTCAAGTCATCACACTCAATTCATGTAAAGGTGTCAGTTGTCTGCAGTTTTCTCAAACAAACACATTGCACTATATCATATGAGAAAGAAAAAGAGTAAGAAGTGTCAAATCTTACCGAAATTCTGAAAGAAAATAACTATCCACAGTTTCATTCACAAAATCAAGAACAATATTCCACGTGGCTGATAAGTACTCAGAGAAAGTGGACTACGATAGTTGTTATTTCACATACATCAAACATCAGATGAAACAGGAAGAGTTCTCGATTAATGCGAAATCAGAGTATTCCTTAAAACACCAGATACACTACAAAGCAACCGAGTTCATTTGAAAGACCGAGTTCAAAAAAGATTATCAATCTCACCGTGAATATAAGATGAAATTCTCTTTCTCTGATGTAATATATATCGAGCAAATTTACCGCAAAATCAAGATCAGAAGAAACGAACCTCATGATGTCTGTCTCCCACCATCAAGAAACCAAAATGAACAAGGGAATATGGAAAAATCCTTGACCACTGAACAATACGTTACCGAATTGGTCTGGACTGAAATCATTCAGACATATTTCAAAAATGAGAAAGAACATCTCATTTAAGCACTACACATCAAATGGAAATCAGTCTATCTAAACAGGAATGATGGACTAATACAAAATTTCGTCGAACAAAGTGATATAGTTAAATTAAATGTGATGAGAAATTTTCACTACTCAAGCGCATGCTGTGTTATTGTAATTCATGCTCCAATCAAATCCAGTAGTCTGAATACGGTTTGTTATCTTTACCAATTCACTGAATTAACAATGAGAAATTACAGTGGAGAGAAGAACTGCGATTGAATTATCAGATATAAGTTGGAATTTCTTACATTCTGGCATGGTATTACTCTGATAAAGCTACAGGCAGTTGAGAGCCATATGGCAGTCAAAATAACTTCCTTGGGAAATATGAACATTTTATAATAATGCATATCGTATACTCATAACCAAAGTTTCTTCAACACAGCATATATGAACTCGGCTTTGACATTTATAAATAATAATAATTATTGTAAACACTAAAGTCTTACCACTATTATATCTCAATTGGTTCACCATAATGAAACTCTTTGACAGGGGACCAGCGTTTAAGGTGACGATACATTCTGAAAAGCAGGTAAAGCATATAGTATGGCTGTTTTACTAAAAACACAGTGGTTTATCATCTGTCTTCATCTTTATGCACTGCTTGTTTCATTGTCAAGCTGCAAAGTCTGTTCAATTGAAATAATATTTAGGCTCTTTAAATGAATTTAAAACGTGAAGACTAATTTTTTGACTGAACATATTTCTGTTCATTGTCAGAATAGTGGATATCTAAATCCAGTTTCTCTCAATGCATTCGAGAATGAAGTCCGAAGAAATTCTCGCTTCACTGAGCCTTGAACTGTACTTCAGATCCAAATCCAGTATCTACCAGTTTGACTGCAGCTGCGGAGCCAGCTACATCGGGCGTACAATTAGGCAGGTTCATCGTGGTATTTCCGAACATCATCCAACATGGTTAAGCAAGGGACAAACAAGATCTATTCGTAGCTCTATTTTAGCACACCTTATAGATAGTGAGCATATGGTTGACGTTAATACTGCATTTAAAATTATTTATCGCATTCCTACTAATCTTAATTTTTCTTTACGAGTTCGTCCTCTAAAAAACAGCTGAAGCAATAGGAATCCACATGAAGAAGCCAAACTTGTGTGTTCAGAAGAAATTTATACAACCACTTTCCTTGCCTTGGCCATCGTTACATGACTGTATTAACCAGACTACTTCACCCCCTTCCCCTTAAACTTTTTAAAATTTATAATTGTCCAAATTATTTTATTTTTCTCACTACTTCATTTTAAAAACGTGTTAACCTTGTAAAATCATTTTATTCTTATGACCACTTCAACCTTAGTTACAAATTATCATTGTCCAATTTGTTTTATTTTTCTTTGACAATCTGTTACGTAATCAACCTATGCACACGCTTATTCCTTAATTGCTCTTCTTTTTTCCCAAATTATTCATTTTGCAATCCGCGTGTTGTAACGATTTCTACATTTTAATTGTGTGTATTAATTCTCTTCGCTAGTTATCGCCCCATTGATGTGTTGACACTGACTAAATATTGTTAATAAACATATCGCCAGGTGATGAGTATATTTTTGTGTATTGTAATAAAAATGCTATATATGTTAGAGTAGAGGTAGATATGAGGATCTAACTGAAAAGTAAACATTTCTTCGCTCAATCTTTCTGTTATCGAAATCCATTTACTTCGGCTTGTCATACGAACTAAGAAGGCCAAACAACCAATTAAACATTTGGTTTCTGTTGATTTCCTTCGAGAACCTTTTTGTTTTCGCCCACTTATTAGACCTCAGCTACCCAGTTCTCCTAATGCCTTCCGTAGATTTCAGGATGTAGTAGAAGTTATAAGTATAAAACTTGAGCACTGTGGTAGAGTACAACTTCATTATGGATAAGATTTTATTTTGATAAATCACACAGTGTCATACAGTGATATTAACTGGTGACGTATCGAGCACAAACCATTGCTCATAATCATATCAAGATGATTATGAGCAGTATTTTGTGCTCGAAACGTCATCAGTTAATATTGATTTAGTAGAAGGATTGTTCATATTTTCAATACTTTACTTTTTTGAGTAATTCAGAGTCAGTGAGTGACGCAAATGTCAGAGAATTTGAAACGCACCCATTACGATATCAAGCTTCACAATATGTAGTGAAGTTTTTTCAAAATCTTATCTAATTGAAAACAACTGGCAGTCATCATTTCGGGTGAAAAGTGCTAACTTCATACATTTTGCTTCTGTCCATATCAGACTTATATAATAAAAAGTCTCAGGGACAAGAAAGTACCTCAAAAATTTGTCTTTCTTTTTATATAACATACAAAAGAGTATACGGTGCATGTAAACTCTTATATTTATTGATAAATAATCAAAGCCAAGTGAGGAAACCACTGCCAGTTCATCACGACTTTCATGTCGGAATAAAGGATATGAACTACAAGGAGAATTCTCTCCGTAAGACCAACTTTTCTTTTCATGTAACTTTTGTCTGTCTGATAGATTGCATCATTTCTGGTGTTATTAGTCAGTACTCTAAATAACAAAATATCAATTGCATTGTTCACTTTAATGTATCAATAGTTGTCCCGAAAAGTACAAGCTAAATAAGTAGATAAATAGAACGCCCATATTTTGTCAACTCCTCATGATGTACAACCCAGTACACATATATAATCACTTTCAATCGATGCAGTTATATGACTATAAAAGTTGGCATATGTTAAATGTTACTCATGGATCAATATACGGATTATGTTCGTAAGATTATGTCAGGATATTTTCGACAAGATAACTCTACAATAAGCATGTATAACAGTTACCGATTTCTGTCATTTAATATGCATGATAACCTCGACCCATTAATAACTGATTTGCCTTTATATTAAATGGTAAACTTTGAAATGACAGATTTCAATTTTACACAAGAATACTTGAAAACTTGCCATGAGTATTTTAATATTAAATAATCAAAATACAAAAATCAAGGATATCTATCTCACCCTCTTTTTACTTCAATTGGTCCATCGTAATGATACTCTTTGACAGGGGACCAACGTTTACTGGGTAGACTAAATATTTACCAAAAATAGAAATAAAAATGAACTGTCATTATGAATTGTGAAATACCTGTCATTGTAAAGGTAATGTACTCATAGATATATGACTTCATATTCTCGCCAAATTTGAAATGGAACTTATATTCAGAATTAAATTTTCTGTGGTATAATTCGTCGGATAGCTTATTGGAAAAGATCAGAAATTAGTAATAGTGGCAGTGAACTGATCGACTGACCTAATTACATGCTCAGACATCGTCGAAGCATCTACACAAGAAGCTGACCTGTCAACCTGATATCGAGCACTTCGGTCCAATCAATAGAGAGGGAAAATATAAAATTAAATAAAATAATTAATATGATCCGTTGCACATAAGGTGGCTCTCATGGGCCAAGTGGTCTAGTGGATAACGCTTTGACGTTCGAAACTGCGGGGTACCAGCCTCGGTGGGAACACCATCACTCATTGGGGCATGCTGACACATCCAGATGACGAGTCTCAAATAGGACGAAATGCGCGTTGTCCTGGATTCCACTGCTATTCATCATCCACCAAATTAACCTCTTATCAAGGTCCTCTTAACGAAGAAATATGCGGAAGAAAGTGGCTATAGATAAAAAATTTTCGGAGGGGAGGGACTGCTAATTGACATCACATGCTGGCTAAGTCCCTGAATGGGAAATTACTAGATGAACAGGTGACCGAGGATAATTTTGAAAACATTAAGTGAGGGGGAGTGAAAAGCCTATGAATAATCATGCAGCCAACTAAAGACAACAGCAGAAAACAAGATGACAAGCCCTCTCTTCCACTAGAAACCTGAGGCAATAATTCGTAAATAATTTGATGGCAAAAATAATGCAAATATATGTACTACCTCGCTTGCTCCTTTGAAGTTATAGGTATTTAAGTGTAAACAAATAAAGGACAAACCAGGAGTCTAATATTGCTTACAGTTTGTTAATGAACTCGGCATATACTGTTTCCTCAAATTCACATATATAAAACAGAGAAATAGCTATCAGAAAGAATGAAAACTAATTTTCCGTGAATATCATATTATCTTATCGGTCTCGAGTGTTATTCACATAAAGATGAATCATAATGCTAGTCTTTGGAATCATAAATGAAAAAAACAGACGGAATGACGGCAATGTACAAAAACGCTTGGTCAACAACTGACTTTCTTATTTATTTTTAACTTTCCCATTGATTCTCTGGACTGAAATTATCAGTCCCTGTTTACATTTGGGCTCCTTGTGAGGATACTTTGACGATGTCTAGTTTGAAACGATGATTAGTGGATTTGAGGCCCACACGAAACGCCATCAACCACTGATAACTCTGGATACACCAGGTGGCAAGTCCCAAGTAGGACAGTGTGATCATCCTGGATTCCACTGCTAGTTGTCACCCACCAAATTGACTGTCTTATTCATCATACAACTTCGACTCACACAAAGATACAAGCGTATTCTTTGTACTCTAACAAAATTCTTCTCTTCAGTTTATAATCTTAATCTTTCTTACGCTTCACTAATATGTATTTTTTAAAATTTTGTGTGTTAATTTTCTAAATGAATGATAAATGATGATAATGTGTCGGGCAAACAATAAAATCTCACCTCCTTTTAATTTCGACTGGTTCACCATAATGAAATTCTTTCACAGGCGACCAACGTTTATAAGGCACACTAGGCCTAGTCCATCAAGAAAAATAAAAAGAATTAGTATACATTAGTACGTACTGAATGAAAAAAATTGAATTTATCTTGTTCATTCCTGTGAATTGAATGTTTATTGTGTGCGACATTTAAAATAAGTGAAAATAAAAGTCGATAGACACAGGAGCTCAAGGGTTCTTTTCATACCCATCATTACTTTTATCCATTGGGTTTCGAGTGGAACAAAGAACAAAGAATTTTTTCTATTCTCTGCATTCCTCTCAGTCGGCTCTACCACTGCCCATAAGCCTTCATCTCCTCCCCATACCATCTCCTCCATATCACTGTCAAACCTAAGCGCAGCTCGTTGTTTCTCATTAGCGTTCCACTCGACGACCTGACGTGCGATGTCACTCGGTAGTCTTCTCAAGTGTGTGCCCAATCTGTTAATGTTATCTTCGGAAAATGTGTTAAGCGATCGATCCCTGGTTGTCTTGTTTCTGGAGTTTCTTGTCGGTAATTATTTCATGGCCTTCCTTTCTTTCAAGCCTAGTTTACTGGCTCGGTAGTTTCCTAGCCATTCCTAAGCCCAGGAGAGGAAGGAGGGTTTGGCATATGACTAGCGATCCTACCCCGGAAAATCAAATCAGTTGCTAGAAAAATTTCAAAGCACAGCAAAAATATTATGCTCCTTAGAGAAGCAGAATATTTACAAATCTGAATTCTTATATAATCTATAAAGTGTCCTTGTTTATTAGAAACGTTAATAACTCTCAGTGAGATTTCCTGTGTTTAGTTTAGTTCTTAAAACTAAAATCGGAATAATGTGACATAAAGAGTGGTGAAATGAAAGCTGGCATTGTAGAGAACTGGGCATCAACTGTCCATGAATAACTGACCTAGGGATGTATTGATTTAGTCACCAAATGCTACTGGTGTTATTCAGATCATTATTTCAAATATCAAGTCAGGTCCATTTTTTAGTTTATTTCCCAAACGGTAGACTTGGCACCTTGATTTGTTCATAGAAAAATATTTTGACCACAAATTTCAACTTTTGATATTATTCTTTAAATTGCATTGGAACACTAGAGTTAATGCATAAACTTATGTCTTATGTCGCTCAGCGACTTACTGTGTTAGTAAGTCAGTATAGTGAATTCAGAGCTGATACCAGCATTAGGAACGAAAAACTTATATCTTACAAAACACGTTATATATAAATACAAATACATATTTGATGAAGAAGCCTTGTGACCAGATGGATGACAATAGTTTGTTTGAGAAGTTTCCATTGTCCTGCTAAACAACATCTTCAGCTCAGGTTTCGATTTGGTTGGAAATCAATTTAATTCTTTTTATGACTACACCTTGATTCCACACCGTACTTTTGGTACAAATATGATATAACTGTTAGGCATGCTTGCGATTAGTTGGTTATTTATATTAGTATACATCGTCTTACTGACTTATAAATTAACCTTTTTATCATCTGAAATACTCGTTATTATTTGTTTACTTTGATCTACATTATTGTGTACTAATTTCAGATTCGTCTGAGCATCAGAAGTCTAGAAATCAACTGGTATTTTCTATATTTCCTTTATCGTAAATTTGCATATTTTTTCATTCGACTTGTTGTCGTTGGGTGTCAGTATGGATTAATATGAAAAAATAGATATCGTAGTCTTTGTATTCTAGCTTATATTTAAGTATTCAAAGACAAAGAAATCCTCCACACTGACCAGTTTTTCTCACTTAACGTAGTTTACTTCGGAGATTACGGTTTTATGTCCCTTTGTTTTTGCATGTCTTCGCTTTCCATTCTGGTTCCACTAAAGCAATGACCTGTTACGCGATATCACTCAGCAGTCTTTTGAGCGTGGATTATCAGTTAGCGATAGGTTATTAATTGGTTCTTTCCCAGAGTTTTCTGGTCAGATGACCTTCAGCATAGAATACAGCGAAAGCAGCTATTGATACTAGTCTGGAGCCTGTTGCAAATGCTTTCCAGGATTCACCAAGTTTCTGACTCATATAGAAGTACTGAACTAACATTGCTGATGAAAATTCGAATTTTGTTCCTTATGTTGAGTGCAGAAGATTTGCCGACTGATCTCAAAGTGATGAAAATCTACACTGCTTTTCCGATTCTGGTTTGACATCATAACCTTTACCAGCCGCCTGTAGTTGAAAAGATTCTGTCTAGATATGCAAATATGCATACATACAAATTAAAGAATATATATATTCCAGTATTTCCCATGGTTAAATTGCCATCCATTCATGTAAATAATTGCCTGACTTTATGGCTGTTAACATCATTCAACATTAGACAAATGGTGGGTAAAAACGTAAATCTTGTTACAAAAACTTGCAGTATTCTTTGCGTTATTTTCGCTTCCGTTAATTACAGCTCACAACCCCCCCTCCCGGGACATCTGCTAATGAGCATACTACTAGTTCTCCTGACTCGCCATACTAACTAGTCATGTCTGTATTATTTTGAAATTCGCCAGTGAATAGCACATTAAACAAGTGAATGGGGGGAAAGGGTAGTACTGAACATTCACGGTAAAAAACCAAAAAGTTATTTTTAGGATTGTTGTTTACGCCTGCCTAACTTAATTTATTAACAATCAGTTTCGATCAAGCAATGACGCGTTTTACATATATTTTGTGTAGCTTGTTTTGAAAATCTTTAGAATGCATACGATGGTAGCTGTTTTCTTCATAATCAGACGACAAATATTTCACCAGCTCATTTATCATTTATAGCCATCTTTACTCGATATGTTTACAAAAATGTATTCACACTAACCTGACATTATATAATGCTTCCTCATTGTATCCTTCACTGACTTCTAATAATACTGTTGCAAAAACAAGGACTGAAATTGTACAAAAATATTTTTCTTTTTTAATCAGTTGAATTGTTTATTGCAACAAAAAGTTAATAATTTTAGGAAAGTTTTGTAAAGTACAAAAAAAATTTCTGATTTTACTGTTTACGTGCATTGAAATGTTTTTATGCCTGAACATATACAATAGAAGGTTGAATGTATGAAAAACACCAATTTGTTTTTAACACTTGCTACTATGAATCTGTACGAATTCTGATATAGGTTTTATTGTACCTATTTAACACTAATTTGTATTCATGGATATTCCCTATCCAGGCATTAATGAAAACAAAACACGTAGTTCAGCGAAGCGTCTCTTTTCGGTGGTGAATTCATTTTCCTAGCTGTACAATCGTAAATGTATATAGGTTATCTTGTATGTATGTGTACATTAACTTTCTCAAACAAAATCACAATTGGTTGTGGCTATTTAAACTAGACAGATGGAGATTGGTAATTGGAGTTAAGTAATACAAAATCAGTCAAAAAAAATTAGGTGTTAATGAAATCAGGGTAGTAAAAAAGTTGATGAGTTGTCACAAACAGTTGTTAAAGGAAGTTATGTAATAATATGAATAATCTGATGATTGAGTTTTACTCAGGATGCATATAGAAACAAAGTAGATAATACGAAATTGCATAAGAGTTCTGAATGAATACAAGAATTAAAAGCAAATCAAGAGCAAGCAAAGAAACAAAATTAAGTCATCAAAATCCAATCGAATCAAAAAAGAAAGTTGTCACCATGACAGTAAGAGTGGTTGAGTAATCCTCTTTTGTATGCACAGCTCTGGTCTTTCTGTGTGTATGGCCAGAGCTTCAGCGATGCAAAGAAGACGAAACCGTATCGCCTTTGATAGGTTGTTCTTGACTCTGTAGATTACTTTGAGGGAGGTGTTTGTTGAAATGGAATGGTTAGTGTTAACCAGGTGTTCAATTATCTCACTCCTTATTGCACTCCTATTGCCTTTATGCAACTATGCTGGGTAATGTTCTTGTATCCTCTTAAACAGGGTGCGCATCGAACGACCGATGTACCTGGCTCCAAAGCAGCAGATTGTTTAATTGCTTATGATTGTTGTATTCATTTATAACTCTTACGTAATTTCGTGTTATCTACTTTGTTCGCATGTGCATCCTGAGTAGAACTCACTCATCAAGCTATTCATATCATAACGTAACTCCTTTTTAACAACTGTTTGTGACAACTCATCACCTTTTTTACTACCCTGATTTCATTAACACCTAATTTTCTTGACTGATTTTGTATTACTTAACTCCAATTGCCAATCTTCACCTGTTTAGTTCGAATAACTATAACCAATCGTATTTTTGTTTGACAAACTTAATGTACACATTTATACAAAATAACACATATGTATTTGCGGTTGTAGAGCTAGGAAAATGAATTCACCGCCGAAAAAAGACTCTTCGCTGAACTACGTGTTTTGTTTTAATTAATTTATATGACAGTAAAAGGGAAGTTTGAATCAATTGAGTAGTCAGTGAGAAACAATCAATCAACAGCAATACATTTAGCAGTCATGACTAGCTTCTAAATTAATACAATCTAAATACTAACAGGAAAATACAAATCAAACCGTCTTTGAAATGATTACTGTTCATTTCTCGCCTAACATTTGCTATCCCTTGCATGGAATTCGAATAAGAAAAGGACTAGTTGAGAGTCAAGGTGTAACACAGAGGTGATCGTGTAAGGAGAAGATGAAAACCGATAGGAAAGTGTGTAGCCAGCCAAAATGTACTTCAGAGAACATCAAATAGTGGAGATCTGCTTCTGAAGCCTCATCTTCGACTTCGGAATGCAAGTGTATAGTAAGAATAAAAATAAATAACTAAATCACTGTCTTATTTTCAAGTAAAATATGATGAGTTCATGGTATGATTGATTGGAACATTTTGCCTAATCAAAATATTTTGTCAGTATCTATGAGATGAACCAATCATACCTGCAAATCAGATGCTTACCTTGAAAAACCTATGGACAATAATTTCCCATTCTCGTCTAATTCACACCTAATATTCTTTGATTGTTTGCATACATTCTATCAACTTTGAAGTAGTCATATTCTTCACAGTGCTGTACACAATACGTAGACAAGATTGGACAATATTCCAAAGAGTACTAACGTGAGAACATCATCAGGTGATTTACTGATTTTTACATTTTAACGACAACGCACAGTCATTTGCAGATATCAGCAAGTAGTAATTCTTTAAGGAATGGATTTCTTAAAAATCCTTAAAATGAGGATATCTCCAAGCGGTTACAATTCCTCTTATTTAAGCAACTTCACGTCAAATGCAGAAGCCAATCAGAAATACTTTGTTGTGTAAAGTGTATTTCTAGGCAGGGAAACTATCTGAGAATACTTCATAATGAAAAATTAATACAACGGATTGTTTGCGGTATAAACACACGGTTAAACAGTTTTTTTTATCTGAGCAGTCTGCCTTATTCATAATATCTTCACAACCTATAGGTTGGTTTTTATTTCACATACAAAAAGCTGCATGATTTCTGCTTTTCTAATCTACTCACAAATATCTAAATGATGCCGTCAGCCTTCTGTACACAGTAGAGAATTCTAAGTTATTTCAGTTATATCATTGCAAAAAAATGATACATTTTGCTTTATTAAGATGTGCTGCGTGTTTTAAATACCTATTGGTGTATGATTGTCCTAAATTCCTGACGAAGGTCTTTGCGGAAAATACCGCCAGTCCGTTAACTGATGTATTGAAATTAAGGTTTAGAAGTGCTAAGCATTCTACTCTAAGCGAATTTTTGTAGAAAGTCTTCAGTTTAATGCATATCACGGAACATTTTGTAAATCTTAGCAAAAAGACTGTTTGATACCTACACAGCCAACAATTTACTGGTCAACATACAAAGTGGCTTGCTTTTTGTACGTTATTGAAAATTCATGCCACTTTGACAAGTGGTGAAAGAAATAGAGGAAAATTAGTTAAATAGAACACTCTTCCGTGATCTGACAAGTGATATTTTGCTATAGGACGTGTTTAATTATGTTCATAACTTATCTAGTGTCTCCCTGATAAAAGAACAGACCGAAATACAGTTAGTGGGTTTTAAATTCTATGCTTCAATGAAAAGGAAATAATCGGACTGATCCTGGACGCCAATTCGATAATCTTCGTGATGAATTTACAGGTCTCCATGCTACGTCATACGACAGTAAAAGTTGGCTGGAATCAAAGATGATCCCAAATACTCACCAATTTAGAATTACATTCAAATATTAAAAGTTATATAGTGTTAAAGAACAGGAGAGATCTTCATGTGATCTCTAAAAAGACAGCATAATTATATATTCCGATCAAGGACAATGTGTGATACTGATGAACAAGATAGATTATACAACAACATGTATAAAATGCCAAAAATCAAACCTTGTCCACTGGAAGAAAAGCTGAGTGGCGTTTGTGATGCTTATTGAAAAAGAAGTAAATTGTTGGGAAAACATTCAAAAACATTGAGCTGATTAGCTGGCAGATCCCAGAATTATATGGCCATGTAAAAGTACACAAGTCAAGAGCGATTCTAAGTCCTATTCTTTCAATGAAATTTCACCATATCTACAAATAGCACAATAGCTATGTGAATTATTACAGCCCCTTATGAAAAAGCTTTAAAATAGATGTTGTCTTTGATTCATTTTAATTCGTCAAGAATACTGAGGAACATAGCATTACTTGTAAATAGATCTGATGTGACTTCCGTATTCACAAATGTTCCAGTCATTCGGCCTATCGACTTTTTATGTATAGAAGCTAAAGACGTATCTATTCCAACAACGCAACTGAAAAGATTTATTACCTTTATCCACTAAAGATATCTGATTTTAATTCAATGGCCTAGTATACCATCAAGTTATTAGAGTTGTAATGAGAAGCCCCTTAAGATTACTGTGTATGGATCTGTATTTTGTGACAGCATGTACAACAGACAGAATTATGTCTAAGATATGTGGATGATAATTTTGAAATATAAAAGAAATGTATAACTGAATCAGAGGCTGAAAATGGATTGGTAAAATTCAGCTCATGCCATCCTAATGTTAATTTCACAGCAGAACACTAGAAGAATTAGAGCATTGAATTCCTAACTGTTTATCTTGTGGGAACTATTGATGAAGCAATATAAGGATTCATATTTAAACTGTTCTCATGAATGGGTAAGCATATAAACTTTAAAAGCTTTGTTACTATCCAGTATAAAAAGAACCTCGTTCAATAAAACATGTAGAGTTTACTCTAGCAGTACAGCCGAATATTAAATAAGGACTCTGAAGAAAACTTTAACTAGGATGGATACTCTAAGAGGTTTATCAGTAAATATTTCAAAGAAATTGGACCAAATTAATCATTTTAGTTAAAGGGGATGATGTACACGAATTAGCAAATCAAAGACTTTATGAAGCTTTTTGGAGAACTCATTATACCGCAGTGCTCATTTTCCTTGACATCACCGAGTGGGTACCCCAACAATTTGGGAAAGACCGTTCGCCAGTCACAGACATTTCATACTGTATATATCAGTTTAAGTGTCTTTGCGGAAGCAAACACATACGTCTCACACAAAGATGACGGTCCACTCACGCGATGGAGAATTTGCTCAATTGGTTGAAAACATGGTGAAGTCAGAGTAACAAAATTCCCACTAACAAAGTATCATATGGTCTACGGATATGACAGGGATGCTGTGAGGACATTCACTGTTGTTAGAAGACAAAATTAGAAAGATGCTTACATTTGAGGAGGTTTCTGAAATTAGAGTGTGTAAAAATGGTTTTTGTGTATGGAAGGAAAGATGGCCGCTTTGAATTTACCACGGCAATAATTCTTAATAATTAACTGTTAATATTATTAATATTTTATGCCGTCACTTATTAATATTCTTATTTCATTTAGTAATATCCTTTGTCAATACCGTTTATTATTTT